GAACCTCAATCCATTAATCATGGGTGCACTGTTTGATCTCCTCAGGTGTCCATCGTTTTGGACTAAGGCAGCTGGGATTTCCAGATCCAGCTCCATCTTTTCTTGTGCCATGACTCCGGAGTTGTTCATTCTGCTTCACTGTGCTACCCGTCAGGGATTCATGAAGCTCAAATGGCGGCCCAGCTCAGTAACGCTACATCACTGACCCTCAAACTGCACACTTTACATGTTGGAAATTAATTGGTCCACTCAATCAAACCGAAGTCGACATGAGAGAAGCCAGTTAATAATATAGAAGACCCAAAGCGATACACAGGGGCCCTCTCCTCTATCAAACACCTTAACAATGGTTTCTAAGCATGACAGTAGTTTTATGTCCTGTATATGCCGCCCTGATCACACTGTTAAAACGTTGCTTATAATGTTGTGAGCAGTCAAAAACTTTCCTGATGGATGGTTAGCATGCCGTGGCTACATACCACACAATGCCCAGTAGCTGCTAGCTGCTGACCCGTTAGTCTGCTGGTGAAAGGCGGCAGTCTCAGCGAAGAACCGAGTTGCAAAGGCGCTTTACCTCCAAACATAAAGCAGATTTAGCTAAGCTAGGCTGCTAGCTGTTTCCTATACAGCCCCAATGCTCATCAAGTCTAATGTGGACAGCGTGAAATGAACGACGCTGCTATGAAAAGACTGCCATACCTCCTAGTTAGTTAAGTTCAGCTAGTGTTCCACTCATTTTTGCTACCCAGACGGTTTAGGCTACATAGCCGGAGAAGCTAACAAGCAATGTTAGCATTGAAGTGCCATCACTGTTCCTGTGAAGTTTTCTTCCGCTAAGCTGCTAAACCACTTCTGCGCTCAGAACCAGCTAAATCCTGCCTACCAGAAAAAAAATGTCGCCCTTAGAATATATAGGATTATTTATCCTGCTCCTGCAATATATGTACCGCCAAGGATGAACCAGAGAGTCTCTTAAAATTATATTGAAGCTAGGTGTTAGCAGGGAACTTCACGCCCCTTTCGACGTCAGCACGGCTGACCAATAAGAGACCTCCGGCTGCCGGCGTCACCGACAGCAGGAGAGAATAGGAGCTACGGAAGAGGATTAGGGCCAATGAAAAAATAAAAACGTTTACTGATTTTTGAATTTTATTTTAGTTTAATATACGAAAAGGGTCAACATCCAGACTTTAATCTCAGAATTCTGACTTTAATCTTTGAATTCTGACTTTAATCTCAGATTTCTGACTGAATTCTGACAGCTATCAAACATGTTAGCATCAAGCTGTAGCCATGTCTGTTCTAAAGACTAAACTAGCTCTCTTGTTTTAATCACCTTCTGTTCTTCCATTAATGAAATAGCATCACTGGAGACCCCTCAGGGACGTAAAAAGTTGCCTAATTCCCTCATTTTCCACCAATGTGTGTGGTCCTCCCAAATAACTCACATCTTTGTCAGTAAAGCGGAGTGCTCCCACATCTTTTCCTTCATAGTGCCCTTTAAGATAGACTTAATTTTATTTTGTCCTTTTGCAGTGATAAATAAATAAGTAATAAATAAATTAAATTAATTCTGAGATTAAAGTCAGAATTCTGAGGAAAAAGAAATCAGAATTCTGAATTTTTCTCAGAATTTCTACAGAATTCTGACAGCTAACAAACATGTTGGCATTAAGCTGTAGCCATGTCTGTTCTAAAGACTAAACTAGCTTTCTAGTTTTAATCACCTTCTGCTCTTCCATTAATGAAATAGCATCACTGGGGACCCCTCAGTCACGTAAAAAGTTGCCTAATTCCATCAGTTTCCACCAATGTGTTACAGGCCCTCCCAAACAACTCGCATCTTTGTCAGTGAAGCTGAGTGCTCCCACATCTCTTCCTTCATGGTGCCCTTTAAGATTAATGGTGCCCAGGGGTCACTTTTTAAGAAGGTATATTTCATAACAGCAGTGTAAATACTTTAATGTCATGTGAACCCCAGTCGGCCTCGGCAGATGGCAGCTCACAGAGCCTGGTTCTCCAGGAAGTTTCATCCTGTTAAAAGGGAGTTTTTCCTCTCCACTGTCGCTACAAGCATGCTTAGTATAGGGGATTGCATTTGAGTTGATGCAATCAACTGGTTTTCTTTAGATAGAAAACTTTGTATCAATTTGACTGTATGATCTGGTTGAACTGTAAAGTGCCTTGAGATGATGTGTTTAAACTGGTGCTATAGAAATAGACTGAATTCTCTTCCCAACTGGTTTTATATCCATCTTCCCATTATCTCTGACCAGCCTTTGTTTACAACAATTGAATGCAATGGAGATATAACTCATTTTTAAGAGATGAGCCTAATCATGATACAATATAATCAGGAAGTTATGGGGAGTGTTGGGTTAGTGATTAGAGCAGTGTGCTTGTACTCTGAGAAGGTTGCAAGTACCCAGTTTGATCCCCACAGCCTGCACCCTGGGTTCCTGAGCAAGACCCTTAAAGGAATAGTACACCCAAAACATGATTAGCCTTAATTTTCTACTCACCCCCATGCTGAACAACACTCTGGAGTACTTTTTTGATATCTCAAATGCATCTGGAGATCTGGGAGGCTTCTTGCTGTCTGCTGACATTCAAATAATGGAGGTCTATGGTGCCCGAGGCAGAAAGGTCCATAAAAGTCCACAAAGAACGTTTCAACATTCTTCCATACTGCTCGTCCAATGTATTCCAAGTTTCCTGAGTGGGTAGCATCCAGAATTTACTCGAAACGAAGTCATTTAGAATGTTTTTCGAGCATAAACAGTAGTGTATAGGATTTCCTGAAAGCGCGCACATGCGCGATCACGACGCTATGGAAGCCGGCAGACCAAACCAGCGCATTCAGCTCGGCAAAGAACTCATGCTCTTCCTCAACACTGAAGTCCTCAGACATTTTTCTTTCGTTGTTTCTTTCTTTGCACAGGTAAACGGCACATTTCTTCTTCTACGCTTGCATTATTGGAAGAGCAGACGCTGAATGCGCACTCTCATCTGGTTTGGTCTGCCGGCTTCCGTAGCGTCATGATCGCGCATGTGCGCGCTTTCAGGAAATCCTATACACTACTGTTTATGCTCTAAAAACATTCTAAATGACTTCGTTTCGAGTAAATTCTGGATGCTACCCACTCAGGACACTTGGAATACATTGGACGACCAGTATGGAGGAATATTGACACGTTTTTTGTGGACTTTTATGGACCTTTCTGCCTCGGGCGCCACAGACCTCCATTATTTGAATGTCAGCAGACAGCAAGAAGCCTCCCAGATCTCTAGATGCATTTGAGATATCAAAAAAGTACTCCAGAGTCTTGTTCAGCATGGGGGTGAGTAGAAAATGAAGGCTAATCATGTTTTGGGTGTACTATTCCTTTAACCCCACACTGCTCCCCGGGCTCCGCACAATGGCAGCCCACTGCTCCCCAAGGGGATGGGTTAAATGCAGAGTGAATTTCCCCATTTTGGGACAATAAAGGGATTTACATTGACATTTTAAAAAAGTCTTCCAAATAAGATGCTTAAAACTAATTGAAAACAGTACCTCTTTAATAGTAAACTGAAAATGTTAATAGGTGGTATATGCATAATTCTATCCAAATCAGTATTGTTGATTATTTTCTCATGCTGAAACACATACATGTACTTTAGGACAGCATTTTTGGACTGTAATGGGAAGCTGGAGTATCCTGAGAGAACCAGCTCAGAAAAACTCCCATGCAGCATCATCTGTGCAGTGTCCACAGGGCCTGCAGTAAAATGGTCCAAGAGCATGTGTAAATACTGTGAGGATGCCTTCCTGCTTACCTGGGCACATATTAAAAGGATTTTATAGGTGATAAAAACCTGTCATCAGTCTCCAGGACACATATCAAGGCAGGTTGTTCAAGATTGCTTTACCGATGAAAAGGATAATCAAAGCTAAAGTCTTCATATAGATGGTAACAAATTTATAATGGAGTAAAAGGTGTAGTGAGAAACAAGATTAAGGGTGGGTATGAAGGATCTCCTGTAGCAGTTAGTGTTGCAACCAATCCAAAATTGCTTCTGACTAAGAACCTGCATAAAGGCACATTTTCAATGCTTGGATACTTGGTCTTCTGTCACACCAAATTCAACCTAGCTCTCATTTAGTATTTCAGTTTTTGGAGAGATGACCTATAAGCTTTGTTTTGCAGCAATCTAAAGCTATAATCAATTATTTAGTCATCACAACTAACATTTAAAACACAGATTCACTACAAAACAGAGAAAAGCTCCAACTAAAGCATTTTGAAGGTATATTACTGACTCAGTTTTAGTGCCACGCCTCAGGTTGGCATGAAAATGAAGTTATTTCCTTTTCTTTTTCTTTTACAGCAGACAGCTGTAAATAATGATACTCCCACAAGTTAAACAAAAACATGCCCTCTTTAAAGTGAACTGAACTACAAAGATCCAACCAGATCTACATGCCTTTCTCCAATTCACTCAATCTAAATGTTCCTTGTAAATAAAAAAGGACCACTTCCTTGTTATGTGCAGGATACATTTCTCCCCTGGTAAACGGTTCCTGTGGTGGAAAGCTTTTATAGTCCTTTGGAGAGGATCCTCAGGATTGTTTATTTGTGTTCTTTTTATGGTGCAACCAAGAAAGCGGGGGAAATATAAAAAGATAAAAATGAAAGAGAACATAAGGTCAGATATTCCTGTTCAGGGATATTTTTAATCAACCCTGAGCAAACGCGGCTAGCTGACTGGCAGTAAGCAGCAACAATGAGGGGAGAGTCGACTCTGCTCCAAACAGCTTTGACAGAAACGGCTCAAAACCATCCGAGCCATGCCCATTCCTCATGACCTGTAGTTTCATCCCTTCTTGTTCAATCTTCAGGTTAATAGAGGGCCCCTATTTAAGGAAATGTTCCCTTATTGTCTAATAAGAAATCCCTTTCACACCTGTTTATATCTGCTGTTGAATGCTAAAAACCTTTTTTGCAGAACAGCTCAACTCAAAGGAGGGGTGAGAACGTTTAATAGTTGGTGCTGAAAAGTTCAGGAATACAGCAAAACATGAGCAAGTTGGTTAAAACTGAAGTGACACGATGCAAAACGTTGAACTCAGTCCGTTTCAGTTAAGGGTACATTTCAGATTCCATATTTTTCAATGAGTGAACAATCTCTAAACCCTGTTTAGGCAGCAATTCAATATTTTTCATCCAAAAACAATGCCTCAAGCATTCAAAGATTCCCCATCTCTTAGATTAAAGATACTGGAAGAATGTGGAGAAGGAAACGGCACTCCGTCAGAGGGACGTTTCACCTTCAGAATGCCCGGTCGGGAGGACAACAAACATTTAGATGATTTTACAACAAAAATATCCCATTGCCAAGGAAGAGTTCAGGCTTTGTCCAAAAATGGACACATCCAAACGTCAAGGAAACGTCCTCCTTAAGAGCAAAACCAATCAGCCACAGAAAGTTCCTGCTAAAAGCTTCTTTAAAAATCAGAGGTTGAAAATATTTTTGGTAGCATGTCAATAATTACGTTTTACTTTACGGTAGCAGCATTTTTCTGAATAAATTACTCAATTAAAAAAAAAACTAAAAATACCAGCATGGGAACATAAAAGCATCATACAAATTCAAGATGGACTCGTTTCTGTCTAAGGCAATCAGTTTCATGTGCACGTGCGCGGTGATCAGAAAGGGCCGAACAGCCGTCTCTGTATCCTCAGGGACCCTGAGCAGGATCAGCGTTTCATTATGACACGATAATCAAATATAAAAATGAATTGCAAAGGGAAAAATCAACAACCCTATATCCAAAAGTGTGCTGCAGTGCTTCTCATGCCTTGTATTTCTCCTTCCCCGTTTCACTGATGACGCAGATATGCTGAAACAAAAACAAAAGGGATTTAATGTAGAAGCTTTTTAAAAGTTATTCCAATTCTTATCAGAAGTACACCAACATTTAGCCATTTAATTACTCATCCATAACAATACTCACATTCAGATCTCTGAAGTACTCGTTGTAGTCTAATGCGTACCCTACCACAAATTTGTCAGGAACCTCAAATCCAACAACTGAAACAAGAAAAGAGGAGAACATTTACCTTCCATACTGTTGTTACCACATTAATTATTATTGAAAGTTTTGATGTCAAACTAAGCAACCAAAAATACTGGAACAAGAAATGGCGTTTGCTTTCAATTTCTCCATTCTGCTCGAGAAGATTCTCATTTATTCAGGTCATAGTCATTCCAAAATAAGTAAAAAAAAAAACAATCCACTGGACTTTGATTCCAAGTTTGAAGACGTTTCACTTCCCATCTAGGAAGCTTTTTCAATTCATAATGTCAGAAATAGAGTTGAGTTTGAGGCTTTCTAGAGTGGACCAAAAGTCAAAGCCTTGTTTTGGCTTAGAAAACATGGAAATTGAACCGGACGAACAGTTCTGCCCCTTAGGAATGGGCAGTCGTTTGGGTTCTTCATTGGCCTGAAATACCCAGTACTTGTCTATGGCCGTTTCTCAATATGTGTACCTGTGCGTTCTCGTGTGCTCATGAAACGTCATCAGCCTCAGCCCTAATACTGTTCCAATTCACAAGAACAGCACACCGAGAACAGACAAAGTCCCCGGATGTTTTTCTCGCCCCTCCCTCTTTATCCAGCATGCATCAGAGCAGACTTGTCTATTGTCGAGATTGACAGCTGTCCCAGCATGCACTGCGGCAGCAGCAGCTTTCAATAGAGCGCTCCATTGAAAGTTAAAAGTTCTGTTTTCTGTTGTTCAATAAAAGTACTTTTTAAGATCATTTGAGGTGAGAATATTATACTTTAAAGTGTCAATATATGGTCAATTTACCGATTTAATGCGTAATTAAAAAAAAAAAAATGTCCGAAGTTGAGAGGACCTCGGCATCCAGTGGACCTCCCAGGCTAACAGCAGCCAGGGCTAACCGCGGCCCATCTGCAAAAGCCCTCTCTCAGCATAGCTGTGTGTGAAGGACCGCTGGCTCTGATGGCAATTTTTTTGTTTTATTTTGCAAAATGTTCATTTGATTTGTCTTTATCTGACTTTGTAAACTATTATTCCCCAGGTAAATGAAAAAAGTAATTTATTGTTCCAATTTTATGCTGCGTGCTCCCGTTCTCCCAGAGTCCACACTTTCCTGTGTTCTTCTCAGGACCATACTTGGCGAGGACACGAGTCCGTACTCGCGTTCTAGTGAATTAAGAAACGGCCTATGTCTCTTAAAGTGGGGTCGTTAGGGGGGATTGTTGGCCTGGCAACCAGGCCAACACTTTTTTAAATCAGCAAAGATAAGCATGTCATATATTCATTGTGCCAGTCAAGTAGTAGACAGGGTTATTAATCAGTGTCAGCTGCTTGGTAGTAATGAATTTGGCTGCGTAAGGCTTTAGCTGGACCCCACTGAGGTCCCTGATGCAGGCCAACTCCACATGGACAGTACATCGATCTTTGAGTCAGTGGTGGAGGTTATGCTGCCCGCAGCATTGTTTAGCATGACCCATTTGGTGGTTGCTCAGCTTTGGTCTGAAGGAAAGGGGATACATGATGACTGCTCTAAGTCCAACAGAATCTCATTAGGACATCATAACGTTACCAGCTTGTGCTTCAGCCTGTCCAGGAGCTTAGAGATGGTCTGTGAGCAGCGAACGGAGAACACCAACCATGATCTCATAAAGAGCAGGTCCAGATGTTTTCCATTAGGCATGCAGCACATGGGAGCCATAGAAACTACAGGGAACCACTCCAAGCTGCTGTGATGAAATTCAAGCACATTGGACTCGCCTGCAGCAGCAGTTTTATTTTCTCTGTGACTTCATTACTTCCTCCGTGGGTTGATGACACATTGTCATTATTTTGTTCTGACACATAACCCTCTCCTTATCCACCCTCCAATCTCTATTACTGCTCCTCTTTGTTAATGAAGCGGTGCCCATTTCTAGCCTGCAGTAGGCAAGGCTTTGGTACAGCTTAGAGAAGCTGTTGGTCCATCACAGGACAACACTGGAGTGCACTGAACAACAACCAGTCACACACAAACCTAAGGCAAAGCAGGAGACCACTTAACCCAGCAGTCTCCTTCAGAGACGACAGGAGGAAGCTGGAGTACCCTGAGAGAGCCCCCACATCCAGAGAGAGAAATGTATTGTATTTTGTTTTCTATTCTGTTTTTCCTTTCCTGTTCTACTTTCCCATTGGAGTATCCATATAATCTGTAATACTCCCTGCATGAATTATAATGAAGCTATTTATATGCATAAATCACACGGTACACTATAGCGATAGCCGTACTGCTCCACTTGGGAAAGTTAAATCTGTTGGGCTCTTTTTGGCATCAAGACAATTATTCTTATTGCCTCATTGCCAGATAGGAGACTGTGTAAAATAAATAAGCAAATGGCTTCTTCCTTCCCTTCTGCTGTAAATGGCTTTCAGGCTTATATCAGTTCAGTGCAGCTTTTCTTTCAGATAAGGAGATCAGACCATTTAACCAATTTCAGGCACCAACAAAGCATTTTTCCTTCGTTTTAGGGTTGATTCACATTTTGCATCAAAAGCGAAACAATCAACATACAGAACCCGCCTCATTTGAGACGTCTCCTTAGAATCCATGAATGCAGCATCTTCAGCTTTCTGCATCAATTACACAGGGACCAACCCAATATCCTCAGATAACCATGACATCATCATCTGGGCTGTCTTGAATTGTTGAAGTCATAGTAAATTCAGGCAATATTTCTAAATTTGAAAAAAAAATAAATAAATAAAACACCTCATCTGTAATCCCAAAGACTGGGTCTAAGGTGACGTGGGGCTTTATTTGTTTAATCAATCAGTAGAGTAGAGCTTTACTCTTCTTTGCTACGACTTAAACTAGTCAGTTGACTTGTTGGCATCTTCAAAGCCAGTAAGTCTTATATTGTGGCTATTAACAAGCCTTAAAGTGGAGACGGTTAACTAAACTAACCCCCATGTTGCAGTACTCCAAGCAGTGATATCACAGGGTAGTTGATGCTTCAGCTAGCAGTTGATACATTGGAAATACCAGCTTTACATCACAACCATAAAACACTTGAGAAATCTGGTTTGATAGAAGAAGAAAAGTTCCCTTTCTGTTGTTTTACTAAAGTACGTTCTAAGGTTGTTTGATGCGAGAATATTAAACTTTTCAGCAGCACTATATGGCCCATTTACTGATTTACTGTGTTATTTATAAAAAAGTTTCAATGTTGAGAGGACTGTCACTACTTGATCCGTGCCCGCAAGCTCGATCCGTACCATCAGCTCATATGCCAATGCCCAACCAGATATACATCCGGGTCATCCTCCATTTTATTTACGGTAGTAAAAAAGACCCAAATTACGTTTTTCCTTCCCAAAAATAGTAAGCGTACTAAATTACATAATGTGTTAAAGTTTAATGATGCATTTCCTGAAAAAAATTCAAATAAATGCCTTAAAGTCCTTTCTGTTTTTTCACTCGTCTGTGCCCGATCTGCACCGGAAATGGGATCCTACGATACTTCCGGGAGCTAACTTTTTCAGCTTTGGATTTAAACATAAATCTAGTCTTATTGAGTTTCATGTTATCCTTGAAGGTATAACCCAAAGAAAGAAACAACTAAAATGCAGATTAACACAGTTTAATCAAAATTTCCCAAAATACTCAAAAAAGTCATAAAAACATTTTTTAAAGAAATGGATTAGCATTCTTTAGTGAGTTAAGGATATAAATAAGACATTTTAGTACCATAAATGGATTATTTATGGAATACCGGATGTATATCTGGTTGCGCATGCACTAATGGGTTTAAGGATATGGATCGTGCCTCTGGGACGAATCCGGTAGTGACAAGGACCGTAGCAACCAGAGAAGCTTTGATGCTAACCGCAGCCAGGGCTAACGTTAGCCGTCAGCAGCCGTGTGTGAAGTACCACTGGCTCTGATGGCATTTTTAATTTATTTTTTATACTTAATTAAACTTAAAATACTCAAATTAAAGTTAGTTTGATTTGTGTTTATCTGACTGTATTAATCATTATTCCACCAATAAATTAAAAAAGTATAACTTTATTATTATTATCTTGAGACTATTAATAAAAGTGGTTGAAATGCAGCTCCAGAGGAGATGTGTGTGTGATGTCATTAATTTTTTTCTGTACCAACTAACCCAGATTTATTCTGCATGCTCTCATTCTCCCTCAGTCCATACTTCCTGTCTTCTTGTCAAGAATGTTCTTGGTGATAACACAGGTCCATACTCTTATTCTTGTGAATTGAGATACGGCCAATGAGTCGATGAAATCAGTTGGTTTTCCTCAGCTAGAAACCTTTTAACCAATCTGATGAATGATCTGACTGAAAACTCTGTAAAGAGCCTTGAGATGAAATGTTTTGATTAGCCTCTTTATAACAGAACTTGGTCAGGAAGGGGCAAACTAGCGCTAACCCACTGTCTGCTAGCTGGTTGCCAGGTTAATGTAATGTAATGTTAACCTTTGATTAGCAGCCAACAGATAGAATTTGCCAATATATCACAGGCCTGGTCAAAACAAATGTCACAACCTCCATATTTGCTATGAGCCCCTTTGTTTGACCAATGTTTACCCTCAGTTTTCATCTATTTTTTTTATTTTTTTTTGGCTTTAATATGAGAAATCTCTGAAGAAGAAGCCATTTTTCAGCTCTACAACAGAGCTACTAGCATCTGGCAATGCCTGAGCTTCAACTCACCTGACTTTACTATTCATTTTGGTACAGAATCCTTTCAGGTTTACAATGGCATCAAAATCAGAAGTACATGTATGTATAATTTGGAGCGGCAAAAATTATTTATAAACTTTTTTTTCAGTTAAAATTAATAATTAACTTTGAATCAATATCTATAACTCTGTGGATGTTCACTTTCTTTTATAAATTTTTTGATGAAAAAGATGCAGCTATGACCTTAAACTCTCCTGTAAGTAGATATATATATATATATATATTTCTATTATTATTTTTTTCCCCTTAATCCACCAGAATCAATGTTAGTTTTCCAAATGTTATCACCTGCGTGAAGAAAGGCCATTTATTCAGATACTTACAGTCCGGTCGGTAGCCGACACTCCTCGGTGTTCTTTTCACCAGCAAACTAAAGCAGAAATCAACAAGAAGATGAAACTTCTATACATCCTATAAGTATAAATGTAAAAGGAAGTCATTCAGATACCTTGCAACTTTCACCATTTTGGGGTTGTACTGTTTAAGCAGCTGCAATAACGTCTTCATCGTCTTTCCTGTGTCGATTATATCCTGAAAACAAAGCATTAGAGAAGCTTGTTAATGTGGGATCAGAAGAACCTTTTAGTTTGTAATAGAAGAACAGGATAAATGAGACGATACCTCCACAATCAGGACGTTCTGTGTGGAAGAGAAGAACAGTTAATGACATTTTTTAGCACAAGTCAAATAAATGACAAGCTGTAGTTTGTTTATCGTTATATTGTTGTTAGATCTAAGAAGTGTGTCAGCAGTTGAATGTTGGAAAAGGTTCAAGGGCTTTAAATAGTTCTGCACAGTAAATGCAGGAATAGCAACAATAACGTGGTGCCGTCAGACGCCACAGACGCCTTGTTTCCACTCTCACCTTTCCTGTCAGAGTCGACAGGTCGTCTCCACCGATCACTTTGATTTCACCGGTCGACTGGTCGTTCTGGGAAGATGAGGAGAACAGTGAGCACAGAGTTCGCATGTTGCCATGGAAGCAGGGAAAACAAACAACAATTGGATAATTAGAGAAAATCTTAAACCACATTACAACCCAAATGCTTGCTCCGTTTCTAACTAAATTACTTCTTTATGTTACCTGAAGTAAAAACAGCCTAAAGGAGGTCAGAATGGAAAACATCAACTAAATTCAGAACAGGAGCAACATAATCTGTGAAGACTTGTCTGAAATTTAATAATTTCTATTTAAAAATCTAGCAGCAGCCAAAATACTTTAGAAAAAAATGGTGAAAGTTTAAATGAAGGTTAAATGAGCTGTCTTTCATTTTAAACTGCATCACTGTGTGTCATCATATCAAACGCAATATAATGAGACTTTCCAATTCTTATAAAGTAAGAATAACAGACTGATCTTTTTGATTTTAACTAAAATGATTGTGCAAAATGACAAACTAATGTTAAATGAATATGGTTAATCAGTGTTTAAAATTTATGTCATTTTCAAAATACTTTATGATACAGAGTTGGTGGAAATGCTAGATAAAAACTTTTTTTCTATCAATAATACAGATTTTTAGGTTCACGTCAGATAGTGGGTTTAAATCTTTTAGCAAAGAAAATGTAGGACTTTTATTTGTTTTTTGTGATCATCTTGGTGCAGTTTTTAATCTATTCTAAATGTTAGGAATTACAACTACATGACTAACTTGCAGTCTTCTCTGAACCACTGGGAGACCTTGACCAGGGCTTAATCTGCTAACTTTTTTTTTTTACACCTTTGCAGCAGGTCCCGTTTATTGTGGTAATTAAGAATCAAGTTGGTTTCTAATCTCTAAGACACATTTATTCATTGTTATACCTTGTAATGATTTACATTTCCTCTTATTTGGAGGACATCAGCAGCCAACCCTCTACTGGACTCTTACAGCTCAGATTATACATTATTATACATTACACAGTAGCTCTTGAGGCGAATGAAGTCCACCGTCATCGGGATGGAGCGGTCACTGTTCCTGTTCAGGGCTTTGATGTAGTCCAACAGGTCCGCAAAAAACTTGTAACCCCCCTTGAGCACGCAGAGGGCCACGATGTGGTGTCCCCCCATCTCCTTCATGATCTCCCGCGCCAGTCTCTCTGTCCTGATGTAACGTAGGAGGCAGACAAACACACAGAGAGGAGGTTCAGATCATTTCCTGCTTTTTCCCCCCCAACAACCAAATCTGTTTTAAAAGCCATGAGAAACTTTGCCTTTCAAAAGTGATCTAATCTACTTTACTATGAGGGTTGTGAATGTGACAGTGATGCTGCACAGATTGTAAGTGTTTGATAATAATGTCGGCCCAGATGTTCATATGAGAGCATCATTGGTCAGAAGCCACAGCGTAATTCCGCCTGTATGTTTATGTTGGTCTTCCACCTGAAAGATGGACTTTAACCTCCATTTTCAGACATCAGATCTTTAAAGCAGGGTTGGTTCTAAAACAATAGCTTACAATTTAAATGTCTCCTTCCTGACCAGCCTGCTGTGCTCCTCAATATATAATATAATTAAATTATAATATAATTAAACATAGTTAAATTTTATCAAGCGATTCAGAGTAAAATGGGACTCAATACAAAGAGTGAATTTTTCCTTTGCCCAGTAATTTGCCTCTAAAAAAAATGGCATAATTTTTCCTTTTCGTTGTGGTCCATCATTAAAAACTATGAAAACAACATTTCTAAAATCATCAAGACAAACTATGGAGATAGGACTATGGTTTACTGTATAAAAAACTACAGGTATATGATATGAAGACATTCAAGGTCATCTGATAATAAAGCCTGTGGTTTGGATCGCATTATAACACAACATTTAAAGCTACAGAACTTTCAGTTTTGGCTCCTCCAAGTGGACTAAAGCTGCATATTTTTTTGCCTGAATGAAGGCAATATTTTTCCAGAGAAGTAGCATGGTAAAATCCTGATATAATCCTATATTTGTTTCCAATGCTTGTGTGAAAGATGAATGGAGGTGAGATAATAAATCCTACTGTGGCGAAACGTCATATGACGATGCTGAAAATAATAGAAATGTTTAACTTTGGTTTTGTAATGTATTCCTACACCGCCACTCACCCCCCACCACCCCTGACTCGTCAGTGACTGATTTAATGACGAGTTTAAAGCCTTAAAAGGATTCATAGCGAGTCCAAGCTCAGAGGAAAGAGGTTAATGGCATCAAACAGTGGTTAATATTGTAAGTACAGTTTAAAATAATGGTACTGCTGCTAGAAAAATTAACATGGCACACAGGAGAGTAGTAAATAGCTTAGCATCCATTCTTTGACTGCTATGTAAGTGAACTAATAGTTGCTAGGTGACAGAGCTTACACTGAGTGAGGGGCGGTGTAAGCTGGGGAAGCTTATATATTACTTTCTTCATATTCAGAAGTTCATAGACTCAGAGGTCACTGTGCCTTTAAATAATTTAGTAACACCCCGGTGATTAAGGGCAGCGCCTTTGACAGCAACAAGGCTGTTAACCGATTTCAGACACACCTGGGGATGTTTTAAACGCACACCTAAAATATTCTCCCTCACTGTGTAACAAAACTCAGCAGAAATCTCAAGAGGGGAACCAGGAAAAAACCTGGTTCATCCTTGGGTCGAATTTCTGAAACTAATTGTTCATCTTTTTCAACAAGTATAACCATGGGCCTGTCTAGCCATCATACCGCTCAAGATGAAGACTGGTTTGATGTCCCAGAGCTGAGCATGCTTTGGTCTGTGCATATCAACCCAAAAACAAAAGACTTTATGAAGATGCTGGCTGAAGCTGTCATCATCCACAGTGAAAGGATGAGCTGAAAGGCTATTCTGCAGGAAGAAGCCATCTCTCCAGCAGAAACACGTAAACGCCACATTAATACACATAGGGACAAATTAATCTTTAAGACATGTCATGTGGTCTGATGAAACTGTTTTATTATAATGAACATCGTTATCCATTATAAAAGAAGGTAGGAGCTTTGAAACCTGAGAACACCATCCTAACTGTGAAAAGGCTACCGCATTGATTGCATCATTCCATAGATTGCTTTCTAAGAAAAGATCACTTTGTAAAAATCCTGAAGCAACATCTCAAGAGATCAGCAAGAAAGTTGAGGTTTGGGCCAAATAGGCTTCCATAGAGACAATGACTCAAACAAAAAGACAAACTGGTTACCAAAGAGGCTTATGGATAACAAAGTTTGGAGTGGCCATAACAAAGCCATTATCCCAGCCCTTTTGATAATACATGGGCAGAGCTAAAAGGGAGTGTTAGCAAGGTAGCTGACAAGCTAGGTTGAATCACACCAGTTCTGTCAGGAGGGACGGGTAAAAGCTCCTGACAACTTTCGAAAGAAGCTTGTGCACTGCAAAAAATTAATATCTAAATAAATCACTTTTTGTAAAAATAGGTATATTTTTTCTTGAATTGAGGAGTTAAGTGAGACACTTTGCCAATGAAATGAGACAATTTACACTTAAAATAAGACAAAAAAAATGCATCATCTTATTTCAAAGTGCATGTAATCTAATTATCTTATTCTAAGAGTAAAAATATTCATTCCATTGGCAAACAACCTTATTTACCTGCTCAAATTAAGAAAAAATACAGTTAATTTAAGACATTTTCGCTTATTTCTAGATTGTTTTGGCAGTGTTGAAAGATATCCAAAACGTTTGACCCAAGTCAAACAGGGAAGGGCAGCGAATATCAACAAAAAATGTTTGTCAACCTCTGACCATCAAGAAAGTTATAAAACAGCCCAAAAATGATCATTTTCTGGCCTTTAGAAAACAGAATCCTATTAGTGATCCTAAAAGACCAAGGACAGGAAAGGTTTAATAAGCTTTCAGGCCTGACAGTAAAAAAAGTATTTTAAAATAGTATAAGTCGATTTTAACTACAGAACTAAAGAAGGAAAACATCAAATTTCCCTGTCTTTAAATTATCCAAATATGGTTAAGAAGCTTAAAAAAGTTTAAATAATGTAGATGATATTATACACAGACAGTATTGGTGCATTACAGGCAGGCTAATAACACTGCACTAAAGTTTAGGTCCTGTTCAGGTCCAGTAAAGTGGTTTGGTTCAATGCTCACCAGTTTATACTGCCCCCTAGTGGGCATCTTACAAACACCATGAAGGAGCTGCATGTTGAATAGAGAAACAGGTGGGGTAGATGTTTGTAGCTCTGGTTTTTTGCAGCTTTAAGTCAATTTAAAGGAAGTTAATATTCATTTTTAGATAACGGCCAGATTACTCTGGTAACTGGAAGATTTTAACACTCAGATGTTATTAATCATGCAGTCTGGGGAGGCACTGATTGAAGTGACTGCCTATAAACTGGTTTCCTTTAAATAATTCTGAATTTCACACATTATAAAGATATCTTTATATAATTTATTACGATTGGCAACTATTAATGTAATCTGTTTTTTGTATTAATTATAATCTCTTCTTTCATACAATATGAACCATGAATCTGCATTAAAATCAATCAGTGTTAATAGATTTAGCTGAGCTTATAAATAGAGCTGGAACCGTTTAAGAAATACTATAAACCTGTAGAAATGCTTTGATGATACAAAAAAAAAAGAGAACCCAAATTATGCTGCAATAGGATTTAGAAACTACCAATCTGGTAACATCGTTTTTCAGGAAAAACCAAGATAAACAATCTGAGCTTGAGTGCCTTAATACTCTAATCTTTCATAGAAGATTCAGAATAAACAAGAAGACAGGCCAAGAAGGTAGTGAATGAAATTGTCAAATGAAGTAATGAGGAGGTAATCAGACTGTGGAAACAAACTTCTTCAGAGCCGCCTCTGAATAGGCTCAGTGTGACATATAATCTACTCAACCAATAAAACTGAAGAGCCACATTTCTTTGACCCTGGGATCCACCGCACTTTTACTAGAAACGGAGATACCAACCTGTCCAGGATGAGGCCGTGAGGAATATAGACCCTCTCCAAGTCAGAAGCGTAATGCTTTGGTATACAGAACAGATCCAGGTCATAGCCTTGCTCCTCATCGCTAATCTGAAAACAAAAAGAAACGAGCAGGACGGTTAAAATAATCCATGGGGTTGTTAACCGACCATCAGATTAAGGGCACTAAAAGTTTACAGCTCTGACAGTTTATCTGGCACTAAACAGAAGACATGGCCTGTTCTTCACTGATTAACCAGCAACCGGGGTCTGACCCAGGTCAGCGCTGCAATCAGGCAGCTGACTCTAGGTTTCTCAGAAGGAAGGCCTACTTCCGTCATTTGCAGTCACTGCTAAACTTTCCCAGACAAAATGCAAACAGTTCAGCCGTATCCTCGTGATGTCAACATTAATAGGATTAATCGACTATTGAAATATTGATTAACTCATTTAGTAATCCTTAACTGGAGTATAGAGACTGTAAAATATGACTTTAGCTGACGGAGCAGCCAACTTAGAGCAGTGATTATATCAAAAATGGAAAAAATGTATAAACATTTCAAATTTAAGATAAATAATAATGTTTTAGTCTGCCAATATGTTTTATCCAGAACTCCTCAAGTGGAAAAGTTTTAGTTTGACCAGATTTAATTTAGAAAAAAATATCTCTATCCGGTTATTAACCTAAAATATAATCGACAGGTTAATCAATTTAGGTGCAGCCCTAGCCCATATATTGTTCAGTTGCTTTCAAGTTGGATAAATGAAATGTCCTGTTTGGGTCGACTAGAATGCCGTGGAACGCAGACAGAAGAACGGGAGTCATGTGACACTGAAGGTGAGCGTGGGAACGATGTGCCACAGACCTGCAGAGTGGAGGAGTGGGTCTTCAGAGAATATTAGGTGATAAAACTCTCGCTGCGTCGAACCAGATGCTGCCAGCCAAACTCTAAAGGCTGCAAAACATGTTTGAGTTAAACCAGTTCAGCTCCAGCTAATGACGACTGATAACAAGCAGATGTCCTGATGGTCACATGACCTGAGCGATAATGTAGGGAATAAAGGGAAGGGTCTCAGGAAGTTCTTACTGAGAAACTCAAACTTTACATTGGATGGGGGGAGGAAAAAACCTCTTATAACCCATCTGCTTTTTAACCCGTGTTTCTGTTTGCTTTTTAGGGGTAATCATAATCTAGACTGTGCTGGTCACCTCTTGGAAAACAGACCTGAACATTTGTTTGCTTTTTATTCGAGTATGGGGTTCATCTCAGCCTGTAAAACAAACATTACAAAATTCTCTTTACCAGCACAGAGCGGCCCAGGTTCAAACTGAAAATAAATAATAAAAAAATAAAATAAAAATAGTCAAAACAAAATCCTGCCATCAATGGATTAAATGGCTGCACCCTCTTAAATGTTTACTATTAAAGTAATAAAATAATGAAAATAAAAAGAAAATACTAAGAATAAGAAGCTATAGCAGACTAAGTGAGTGTCAGCCATTCAGATGAAAAAGGCTACTGCTGTCATGTTATTCCAGGGATTTAATATGCTCTGGTTTCCAACTATCCGTTAAAACCCTTGTCCGAGAGATAACTTTCCTGCAGCCACAAATACCCGCCCCTCTCCAACTTGTTGCTGCACATAACATGTCCTTGTTTACCAATAGACAACTGTGGCATTGTGGAGACATTCCCAGCCACTTTAACATGGATAGGCATGATCTGGAAACTTAAAGAGTCTCATTCGTCACACGTGAAGGTAATGCTTTATTAATACTGCGGTTGACAAGCTACAAGATGACTGGCTAATTGCCTACGTTTTCCTGGGTTTCCTCTACAGATTTGCTTGGGATTACATATAAAACAACCACAGATTGATGTTTTAAGGAAATATGACCAATAGACTTAAAGTTAATTCAAATTTTGATGTCATTTTGTTCTATCATTGCTCTTACAAACACCAAGCTGGTCAAATTTAAAAGCAACAGCCTATACAGTGCAATGTTTCTTTGAAGTCTGACCTGCCTCTTCCAGTTGTTGTTTTGTAGGCAAAATTTAAAGTTATCACAAAATCATCTACATGAATGACCAACAGATCCCCAGCATTTATCATATTTCAATTAAAGTATCTATTTTAATTGCATCACATCATGTGCTGCTACTTTAGGCATGCATATGATAGATAATAAAACAATAGCTATTAGTTTTGTTTTATTTACCTATGAGTAAGGGTAAAAAATATCCCAATTTGCTGTATTTTAGCTTCAGATCAATCAATCCTGGTCAAATAAACAGGTTCAGATCTCTGGATTATTTTTTGGAGAATATGAGATTTTTTAGGGGTGTTTATCAGCAATGAAGGGGCGCATACTAGTATATCTTGTGTCTGTGGCTTGATGCAGCATCCAGAATGATCAAGTACATGTTTGATAGGATCTCGAGTTTCTAAAGAAATGAATGTGCTAAATATTGATCAACCTGGAAATACATACATACAATCCGAAAATCCGAAATTACATTTTTGCATGCCAAAAATTACATTTAAGGCTGCCAAAAATATAATTGTACTAGTAAGAACAAACTTATAAATACCTAGAAATCTTTACAAATTTTAAGTGGTCCTTTTATCAAATTTAATAGCTTGACTGAATATATGTTTCAGATGTCTCAAATGCATTTCTTCATAGTCAAAATGAACATTTCAGATACTTAAAATAACATTCCTCCTATCTAAAATATAAATTTCAGATAGCTGAAATGTCATTCTTATTAGTACAAATGACGTACCTAGTCGCAATTACAATACTAGTCAGAATTGTATTTTAGATATCACTAATTACATTTCTACCAGTAGAAACTAAATTTTAGATAGGCATTTTCCAAATTGAGACGTCTGTAATTCTAATTTGACTAGTCATAAAATAAGTAGTTGATATCTGTAATTATGTTTTTACTAGGAGAAATATTTTAGATGTCAAGAATTGTATTTCTAGATATCTGTAATGTTATATTCCTTTTTAATATTCAAAATAGTAATTATGATTAGCAGTAAGTCTATTATGGAGATGTGAAATTAAAGTTAATTCTAGTCACAATTCATTTTAGATAGAAGAACGTTTATTTTAGATAGGAGGAATGTTATTTTACATGTCTGGAAGTTAAAGATCAATACACATGAATGGGAAACGTGACGTCATTTGTACTATTAAGAATAAAAATTTCAGCTATCTGAAATGATTATTTATATAGGAGGAATGTTATATTAGATATCTGAAATGTTCATTTTGACCAGGATTAAATGCATTTGAGAAATCTGGAATATACAGGTGCTGGTCATAAAATTAGAATATCATGAAAAAGTAGATTGATTTCAGTAATTCCATTTAAAAAGTGAAACTTGTATATTATATTCATACATTACATACAAACTCATATATTTCAGATGTTTATTTTGTTTAATTTTGATGATTACAAATGACAACAAATGAAAATCTCAAATTCATCATATCAGAAAATTAGAATATTGTGAAAAGGTTCAAAATTGATGGCCCCTGGTGCCACACTCTAATCAGCTAATTAACTCAAACCACCTGCAAAAGCCTTTAAATGGTCTTTCAGTCTAGTTCTATAGGCTACACAATCATGGGGAAGACTGCTGACTTGACAGTTGTCCAAAAGACGACCATCGACACCTTGCACAAGGAGGGCAAGACACAAAAGGTCATCGCTAAAGAGGCTGGCTGTTCACAGAGCTCAGTGTCCAAGCACATTAATAGAGAGGCGAAGGGAAGGAAAAGATGTGGTCGAAAAAAGTGTACAAGCAAGAGAGATAACCGCACCCTGGAGAGGATTGTGAAACAAAACCCATTCAAAAATGTGGGGGAGATTCACAAAGAGTGGACTGCAGCTGGAGTGAGTGCTTCAAGAACCACCACACACAGACGTATGAAAGACACTCTTGAACCACAGACAGCGTCAGAAGCGTCTTGCCTGGGCTAAAGAGAAACAGGACTGGACTGCTGGTGAGTGGTCCAAAGTCATGTTCTCTGATGAAAGTAAATTTTGCATTTCCTTTGGAAATCAAGGTCCCAGAGTCTGGAGGAAAAGAAGAGAGGCACTTCATCCACGTTGCTTGAAGTCCAGTGTAAAGTTTCCACAGTCAGTGATGGTTTGGGGTGCCATGTCATCTGCTGGTGTTGGTCCATTGTGTTTTCTGAGGTCCAGGGTCAACGCAGCCACATACCAGGAAGTTTTAGAGCACTTCATGCTTCCTGCAGCTGACCAACTTTTTGGAGATGCAGATTTCATTTTCCAACAGGACTTGGCACCTGCACACAGTGCCAAAGCTACCAGTACCTGGTTGAAGGACCATGGTATCCCTGTTCTTAATTGGCCAGCAAACTCTCCTGACCTTAACCCCATAGAAAATCTATGGGGTATTGTGAAGAAGAAGATGCAATACACCAGACCCAACAATTCAGAAGAGCTAAAAGCCACTATTAGAGCAACCTGGGCTATCATAACACCTGAGCAGTGCCACAGACTGATCGACTCCATGCCACGCCGCATTGCTGCAGTAATACAGGCCAAAGGAGGCCCAACTAAATACTGAGTGCTGTACATGCTCATACTTTTCATGTTCATACTTTTCAGTTGGCCAACATTTCTATAAATCCTTTGTTTTTATTGGTCTTCAGTAATATTCTAATTTTCTGATATGATGAATTTGAGATTTTCATTTGTTGTCATTTGTAATCATCAAAATTATACAAAATAAACATCTGAAATATATGAGTTTGTATGTAATGTATGAATATAATATACAAGTTTCACTTTTTAAATGGAATTACTGAAATCAATCTACTTTTTCATGATATTCTAATTTTATGACCAGCACCTCTATATTCATTCAAGCTAATAAATGTCAAAATGGCCTGCCATATCCCTATAATAATAGTTACTATAAATCTGTGACTAACTGTATAAATACATAGCTGAGGCTGCAGTCCGACGCAGAAACTCATTTTGTTTCACGAGCTCACGCAGAAGCCTCTCCATACGTCACCTAGCTAAACGTGGAGAGCGCGTGCCTGTCTCCAGCCGCAGGCCACGCTTTAAAAGGCGTTAAGGGGGGGAAAAAAGGACATGAATTACACGCTATGGTGTACCTTCGGTGAACTCAGAGTTTCCCAGTACAGCGTGTTATTCTTCAGAGCTCTAACAGCAGAACCCCTTACCGTCTAACGTCTCTTATTTCACCAGAGGGAACTCACCACAACGCACGAGCCCGATGTCGCCATGTCAACTGTCCCTCTGGGGGTAAAAATAGAGATGCTCAATCCTCTTCTTCTGATGATTTTAAAAAATGATCGCCTTAATTTGTCTGTCTTCTCTGCTTTGTGACACACATGGAGGCGAGGGGACCACAAGAGAGCTGGAGTCTTTCCGGTGGGTTCTCTGTAGCTCCGCTGCACGTCCTTCGCTAATGCGCGGCTAGCCAATCAGGAGAGAATTACAGACTAAGCCCCGCCCCTTTCGGTGGAACTTGATGGGGAGGGCCCCAGAAGCTGAAGCGCGCGAGCCAGCTTTGACTTTCCAGCTGCGCGAGGTCATTGGCAGATATCCCATCTGTTCTCTGCTGTAAAACCATAGATTTGTTTAGAATTGCATTCATATTTTAATTAGCTACACCAGATTCGACTCTAACAAAACGGTCAAAAAATATATATCTGGTTTAAAATGCCAGCAAATAAGGTCCCGAATTACCAGGAAGTAATAGAAGTTCAATTTAAATCCAAAGTTCATTACAGTTCTAGTTCATAATGAACAAACCTGATTGTCAAATCACAAAGATTATAAAACTACGAAGAAAATCTTGATGAAACTAACATCTCCGTCTAATATTTTAGAAAACTAAATATCAGTTTTGCTTGAGAAGTGTTATAAAAGAGTAATGAGCTAGAATTAGACACACCCGTTTAGTGTTTCCCTCCTCTGCGCGTTTTAATCAGGATCCTGTCACAGAATGCAAGTTCTGCATGCTAGATACCAGGATCCAATGAATGGATGATAACCAGGCAGAACCTGTTGACATACTGAGGTGGTAATTCATTTAATCAGGGCTGCAGCACTTTAGGCCTGGAGTTGAGGACCCCTGCTTTAGTCAGATCAATGGTTTTGTTGATTTAAAAATGAGTGTGTGTCTATCTATCTATCTAGAGAGATAGATATCGAGAGATAGATAGATATCGAGAGATAGATAGATATCGAGAGATAGATAAATATCGAGAGATAGATAGATATCGAGAGAGAGATAGATATCGAGAGAGAGATAGATATCGAGAGAGAGATAGATAGATAGATAGATAGATAGATAGATAGATAGATAGATAGATAGATAGATAGATAGATAGATAGATAGACAACCATTCATACACTCACTCTCTCACACCTAAGGAGAATTTAGAGAAGCCAATTCAGTCATGTTTTTGGACTGTGAGAGGGAGCCAGAGTCCCCGGAGAGAACCCATGCATGCTCATGGAGAACATGTTAACTCTATGCAGAAAGACTCCAGGAACCTTCTTGCAGCAAGGCAGCAGTGCTACCCCCTGTTCCACTGAGCAGCCTTATTTTTATATATATATATATATATATATATATATATATATATATATATATATATATATATATATATATATATATACACCGGTATATATAATTTGTTTTTTTACTATTTTTCAAGGCTGCACTTTTGAAAAGATGAAATTGTCCAGAGAGCTGTGCCAAACAAAATTGTGTAAACAAAATGCTAATGCTTTGGCCAACAGATACACACACTGCAAAAGTGATCTAAAAATTAGTAAAAAATGTGTTAAATTAAGTGTATTTACCCTTAATTTGAGCAGGTAAATAAGATGATTTGCCAATGGAATGAGTATTTTAATATTAAAATAAGATAATTAAATAGGTGCAGTCTTGATTTAAAGTGGGAAAATATTAAATAGAAGCAGCTGAGCTCTGATATTTAGATGTATGGAGTAATACAGAGTAAAATATGGCTTCAGCATCCCTCCAATTAAACATGAATCAGACCAAAAGACTGAGATTAAAGAGCCGCTTCACCCAACAATGTGTAAAACAAAATATTTTCTATTCCAATCATCCATGAGTACATTTGAGATATAAGTAAACAGTACACCAAACAAAGTCGACCCCCCCCGTCACTTAAAGGGCTCTACGCTGCCCTTTAGCCTTCTGATCAAAACAAAAACACCACCTTTAAAACAGTGGGGGAAACACAAGTGCATGCTGGCAAAACTCTTCACTGTCTGAAATCTGGATATTCCAAAGTACTAATGATCCGTATACGGTAGCAAAATATTACATTATCAAGAAAGAAAGGCTAACATGGAGAGTATTCTTAAGACGTGGTATCAGAAACGAGGTCAAACTGCACAGCTTCAGAGAGACCAGTAACAAATGGAGCCCTGGTGAAAGTCAGTCCCACAGAGGCTGATGGAGGGCAGGAAAAGATTCACCGTTCCATGATGGTTCAAGGGGGGGAAAATGGGCATTAAGTGACGATCAGTCCATCTGTTCGTAGTAAGGACATTAATCTGCTCGCCTCTATGAATCTGGAGATAGAGATTAGCTGCAGCTTTGAAGCACGCTGCAAAGGTCCAGCATTCAACATGGTAACGCTAATCTGTGGAGACCACCCAGCCAAATCCAAACAGGTTCCCATAACGACGACATCTGGTGCACAACGGAGCATCATGTCCACTTACTGACGGGTGAAAAAAGGATTAAAAAAAAAAAAAAAAAATCACGAGGGAGACCGAGGGGAGCTCCTGGACCATGACCGTGTGAGTAGATTAAGATTTAGTATAAAAACATGTCCTCCTTTTCTCTCAGTTCCTCTTCTCTCCACACCAACAACCTGTAGGAACACAGAAGATGACAGGAAATATTTAATTATAATACAATAAGATCCTTCAATATATATTTTATTGATTTGATTTGGAAAAATGAAGCTTGTTATATAAATGAATTGAACACAGAAAGGGTCATTTAAAGCACTTATTTCTGTTCTGTGCTTGCTGTTATCCTGGGAAGTCTGACAAAGGAACTTCAACCGCTCGACATCGGTGTGAACCGGCCGTTCAAAGTAAGGCTGCGAGCTGCGTGGGAGCGACGGATGACAGACGGAGACCACAGTTTCATGAAAAGTGGAAGGCAGCGCCGGGCAAGTTACGCCACCGTTTGCGGATGGATTGTAGATGCTTGGACTAACGTGTCTGCTGGCTCTGTTGTTCAAGCTTTCGCAAAAGCCGACATCTTTTCCGAGGAGCCGCACGGCACGGAAAGTGACTGACAGCGAAGAAGGGGAAATTGGCATGTCTGATTTAGCGCAGCTGTTTAATTCAGAAACAGAGGATGATGACTTTGATGGGTTTGATTAATACTTTGTAATAAATACATGAATAAAGCACAATCATACTCAGTTTTGCTCCCGCTCTATTTTTGAATACGCAGTAGAGGTATTTAAACGTAGTAGAGGATATGTACATGTACCGCGCCCTGTAGTCCGGTGCGCCTTATGTGTGTGTTAAATACGGAAATGGCACTCATAACTGAGAATGCGCCTTTTAGTACGGTGCGGCTTATGGTCGTGAAAATACGGTACTTGCAAAAGAATAATGATGCTCCATTTTAACATAAAATAAGCAGGCTGACTAGTCACATTTCTATGACAGATAGTACTCAAGCATTCCACCTAGTCCCAATTAGAGTATCTCTAGTCAGAATTGTATTTTAGGTATCACTAATTACTTTTCTATAAGTAAAAATTACATTTTAAGTACTCTGGAATCAAATTTATACTAGTAAGAACTACTTTTCCCATATCTACAGATCTTTACTTATTTTTAGCGGCTGTTTTAACATATTAACTTGACCGAATATGTATTTCAGATACCTTTAACTATATTCCTCCTATCTAAAATGAACAATTTAGATATCTGAAATTTGTACTAGTACAATGACATCACTTTTCCCTATTCGTGCATAATGGGCCGTTACTTTCAGATATCCAAATGACATTACTCCCATCTAAAATACATATTCTGGATTTCTAAAAATTAATTTTAGATCTCCGTAATCCGGTTGTTTCTCCATCTACCAGTGGGTAGGAGCTCGGTTAGCAGCGAGGATCTCTGCATCCTTAGCCTGTTTCTCTCCAACTAAAGCCGAAACTGTTCTAGTTAATACAGGATTCCCACCTTGTTGCGGTTCGTCAAAAACAAGAGTCTATTTTTTAATGGTGGTGGAGAAACATGAAGTCTATGTGAAACATAAGCCTGAGTTTCCAAGCTCTGTCAGCAATCTAACTATATCTACATGTGAAGCTGTTGGCAGGTTAAACGCCCTTTTTGCAAACCAAAACATGCTCACATGGCAACTTTATTTCTTAAACAAATATCCTGTGTGCAGCTGATTGCTTCAGGTTTGCTTTTGATTATCTGTATGTTTGTGTCAACATCCAGCAAGTATAAATACTCATTAAAAAGTACTTTATTTCTAAAGTATTTGCATATTGTATTGGATTTATGTTCATAAAAACAGAACCTTAAAATACAATATCTGCTTCTAATATTATTTAGATATGTGCAGTTATGCAATTAGTTGTTTTCCCCAGCACTAAATAACAGATTTTGTTTACAGGCACCTTTAAAGCAGCAGCTATCCTTTTTCTATTCTATTGGTCTTTAATCTTTTAGGGGGGGAAAAAGTATTTTGTGGTTGTCATGATCTATTACCTATAATTTTAACAAAAACTCCAAATAAACACTTACAAAAATACCACTATGTTTGTGTGTGACTTTTTAAATTGGATTGTTGCAATAACCTCTGAGCTAATCTAGAGCAGAGTTTGTACTCTGGTAGTAATCTCTGAGCCAATCTAGAGTAGAGTTTGTACTCTGGTAGTAATCTCTGAGCCAATCTACAGTAGAGTTTGTACTCTGGTAGTAATCTCTGAGCCAATCTACAGTAGAGTTTGTACTCTGGTAGTAATCTCTGAGCCAATCTAGAGTAGAGTTTGTACTCTAGTAGTAATCTCTGAGCCAATCTAGAGTAGAGTTTGTACTCTGGTAGTAATCTCTGAGCCAATCTAGAGTAGAGTTTGTACTCTGGTAGTAATCTCTGAGCCAATCTAGAGTAGAGTTTGTACTCTGGTAGTAATCTCTGAGCCAATCTAGAGTAGAGTTTGTACTCTGGTAGTAATCTCTGAGCCAATCTAGAGTAGAGTTTGTACTCTGGTAGTAATCTCTGAGCCAATCTACAGTAGAGTTTGTACTCTGGTAGTAATCTCTGAGCCAATCTACAGTAGAGTTTGTACTCTGGTAGTAATCTCTGAGCCAATCTAGAGTAGAGTTTGTACTCTGGTAGTAATCTCTGAGCCAATCTAGAGTAGAGTTTGTACTCTG